CTGAAGTCGGCGCTTAACCGACTGCGCCACCCAGGCGCCCCAAAGGTTTATTGTAACAATAAAGTTAATACTGGTCTTTGTAAGCACTTACCATTCGCTTTAAACGTAGGAACGGCTTCAGCCTCTGACGCCTGCCGAGGTTCTCCCTGGAACAGTCCTCGTTTCCCAGGTGAGGAAAGGGAGGGGGACGGTTCCTCACAGAGTAAATCGCAGGACTGGGCAGGGAAGCTCGGAACGGCGCGTGGAGCTCGGGCCGTCTGACCCGGAGCCTGTGCTCTTAGAGACTGAAATTGCACTGTGATCTCCTGCGTGGCCTGGCACGTAGCGGGCCCTGCCATCGTGTATGGCGCGTGCTGGTTACTCAGTTAATGATGCTTTTGTTTTCAGAGTACCTTCAAGAAAGTAGAACTCTGCAGGAGCTTTCAAAGCCAGTTCCTCATAAGAAGAAAGAGGTATCAAAGGAAAAAAAGGGCCCAACTAACGCTTGTCCAAAAGTTAAGAAGAAAAGGCTTGCGTCGTATGATAGGACAGGTACGTAGCATCGCAGACCCGGCTTGTTGAGAAGACACTACGTTCTTTCAGATTATTTTGTGGTTTTATGTGCTTAAGTAGGACACTGATTTTAGAAGAAACAGTCTTACTGAATTCGGGTTGCTTAGAATTGTTGGGTTTTTTTAAATCCTTGAAAACCTAAAATATCAATAGATCAAAAAATTGACAGATGGTTCACTGACTATGTTCTTAATTAGGAGCAATCCCTGAAGGTTATGGTTAGAGAAATGAAGTTGTGTGGTTTTGTCTTCAACTTTCAGTAAAATTTTATAGTATCATTATATTTAATAATTTTGTGTCTTCGTCTGACACAGAGGTTAAGTCCCCAAATAAGTAATTCATTGAAACTGAATTTCTTACTGACATTCTCCAGTTTGTACTTTCTCTATGCCTCCAATTCTGATTTGTATTAATATTTTCAGTTTGACAGGAAAAGGAAACTTTTCTATGTTTTACTGACATACCACGGTCCAGGGCAGATTAATCGTAAAGCTATTGAAGCTTAAATTTCCGGGCCTGACATAAACAGGCTTCATTCTTTTATTTTTTTTTATTATTTATTTTTTAATGTTTATTTATTTTTGAGAGACAGAGACACAGAGCATGAGCAGGGGAGGAGCAGAGAGAGGGGGAGACACAGAATCCGAAGCAGGCTCCAGGCTCTGAGCTGTCAGCACAGAGCCCGACAAGGGGCTCGAACCCATGAACTGCAAGATCGATTGTGACCTGAGCTGAAGTCAGACACTTAACCGACTGAGCCACCCAGGCGCCCACTGTGTGGGTGTGGGGGTTCGTGCTTCCGCAGTCCCCTCCCTGCGAGTGCAGGCAGGACCCCAGCGGGATGGAGCCTTGCTCCCAGAAGTAGGTCATTCCGTGTGGCATTTCTGAGATGTAGTTAAGGCCCTTTTTCCTGGGCAAGCCCTCCCTATAAAAGAGACCTGGCCTGTAAAAGAGACCAGAGGCAGTAGTAGATGCCACACTGCCGTCACCGAAGGGGCAAACTGCCATGTTGCGGGCGGGGCCCCATCGCAAGTAGCTCACGAGAGTACCCCGCCAAGAGTCAGCAGCAAAATGGGGACCTCGGTCCTGCAGCCACAAGGAAACGAGTTCTGCCAACAGCCGAGGGGAGCTTAGAGGCGGATGGCTTCCTAGCGTGTCTCGAGATGCGGGCCCGGTCAGCCGACACCTCGGTTTCAGCCCTGCAGACGCTGAGCCGAGATCCCTGACCCGGGAAACCGTGGGGCTCTGAAGGTGTGTCGTCTTAGACCCGGTTTGTGGTAACTTGTTACGCAGCAGTAGAAAGCAGGTGCAGGGGTGACATGGTGCAGGTGTAGCGAAAGGCACTCCCCTTTTCTGCTGCCTGTTCTCTGGCCCCAGTTACAGTTCACGCCAGCAAACAGTTATTCTGAAACCGGTGACTCGTTTCCATTTACGGTTTTATGCATTTTCTCCATTTATATTCATCCATCATGGTGGTTTAAAAATTTGTCCACATCTGTTCTGACACCCCTTCCTTCAAAAGGTGGAGCCTTGCTCTTCTCCCTCTAAGTGAAGGCCAGACTCACAGCCTCCGTTCTAACCAAGTAGTATGGTGGAAGCGACAGTTGGCAGTTTGACAAAGTACGGTGTGGTGGAAGGGACGGTGTGTGACCAGGCGTAGCGGTGCCTTCTGCTTTGTCGCTCTGCTCACTCTCTGGGGGACGCCAGTGTCACGTGGGACACTGCAGCCCTGCGGGGAGGTCCACGCAGTGAAAGAGCTGAGGCACCCGAGTGCGCTGTCCTGGAAAGTGATCCTCCCGCCCCAGAGCCTTCAGGTGACTGTCACCCTGGCCAACATTTTGATTGTGCCCTCATGGGAATCTGGGCTGGAGCCACCTAGCTAAGCTCCTTCTGAATTCCTGACCCATAGAAATTGAGAGATGATCAACATTTCTTGTTTTAAACCTCTAAGTTTTAGGACGGTTACTTACACATCGGTGGATAACGAATACATCCATTAAATACATGCATTATTTTGTGCGTGGGAAGGTCACACAGAGAAGGATACATGCGGTACGATTCGGTTATATGAATAAACGCTAGGAAAAACTGATCTCTAATCTTAGAAATCAGCGAGCGGTACTTCTGTGGGAATGGGTCGAAGCGGGAATGGTAATAGGGCAGGGCTTCAGGGGGGACGTTAGGACGGCTGATGTCGCTTTCTTCCTGACTGCTGTGCACGAAGTCCTCTACCTACGCGTGCCGTGTGTGCTTCTCCGTGGATGTCACGCTTCAGTGGAAGTGTTAAAGTCTATGCCTACGTGACATTTTATTGTAACCTTTTGTAACCTGTCTTTTTGAGATGATTCTCGCTGACGTGTGCCTTTGGAATTTACTCTTTCGCTGTTTTTTTGTGTGTAGAATGCCCTCTTTTCTCTTTTTGCCCGTCTTGAGCCTTAGGTTAACATGCATTCTGTGAATCTCTTAGAGCTCTCAGCGAGGCCCCTAGAGTGCAGCGGCATCCCGCCTCGGAGCTCACGTAGCACTCAGTGGCAGTATGGCTGCTTGACGGCTTTTCATTATGACGACACGTTCACATGGCGGGATGGTATCATCACTTACATCTTCAGCTCTAAGGCAGCAGTTCCGTTTTAAACTTTTCAAAAGAAAAGTTTTTTTTTTTGTTTTTTTTTTTTT